ATTAGGGACGGCTAGCGCAGATAGCCCTCGTGTAGCTTTGCGCGAAATTCCAAAACAAACAAACAAACAAAACACTTTAAAGTTCATTATTTTGCTACAGGAGTGCTACCAAAAGAAAACTGCGCATATCATTGTTACACCAGTTCATCTTAAATTTACGTTTCAGCTCATCCAGTAGTATTTTTGCATACATTAGTTACCTATATACAAAAAGATGGTTTCGATAAGAACAACTCTGAGAAAAAAAATAGAAAAAAAATATAGAGGACATAATCGTTTCAAAAAGAAAAAAGAGGGGGGAGAAAATTGAGACAAAAGTAGGAGGAATTGATGTCTAATACCTGCATTTTGCTCACTGTAACATTTAACTACGTCGCTAAACGATTCTGTACAGGCAGAAAAAAAACATTATATACCTATTATAAGTAGTGTAATCACTTGCTTTGAGATGAGAACAAGGAATCTTATTTTTTTATGTTGTTGTCGTCTGTTGTTGTTTCCAACTCCTCTAACTGTTGGATACCTTCACGTTAATTGTTGTGAAGTGACTCAGAGTAAATGCTGTGTATTTACAGCTGACCACGTGGTAAATCACGAAGTAAAATGCGCTTTATGTAATACTTTCATCCAAATTACTTAAGCTTTCGTGTATACTATATTCAGAATGGTTTGACAGCCGACTTCTCACTCTTACGAGTAAGTAAGGCATTAAGTCGTGTCGTTCCTTGCGTCTGTGGGAGTAAGTACGAATATAATGTTTTGGAAGTGAGAGATTTATGTTTATATCTGATAAAAACATTTTACGTGTACAAAAACAGCAGTATGAAGATGTGATCTCAAAACAAACAAAAAAGAGCCAAGGGGAATATCTTGGGGTAGGTCTAGAAGTATTCTGTTAGATGGATCCGACACGCATCTGAATTACTCGAGGCTTATATTTGCGGAAAGCTTTACCATTGCAAACTGTTTAATGATTATATTACAAATTTTATTTCATTTCACCACAGGTAAAATTGAAAATAAAATCGCTACACGAGGGCTATCTACGCTAGCCGTCCCTAATTTAGCAGTGTAAGACTAGAGGGAAGGCAGCTAGTCATC